TCTTCTTCTTTGGCTCTGGTTGTTGGTGCATATATCTGAATGATAGTGGTATTTACTGGACTTCCTTGTAAGCATATGGATATGATCCTGTCACTCACGATGTTGTACTTCAAGATGGATCTAGAAATAACTTTTTTTACTATAAAGGCAACCCCGTTTTCCCTTGTCTTTTTTGGAAAGTAACTTACCAAAGTTACTTTTAAGTACTGAAGCAATATCTTTTTGTGGTGAAGCCTTGAGTAATTATCACTAGGAAATGAAAGTCACTCCAATACTCTCATTTGCTGTGCTCTGTGGATGTCATACTTGGTGAAACTTTGAAATTGTTTTCTTTGTTACTCAGCCTACATAGTCATCAGTCAGGCAGCTGCCCCACTTACCCAGTCTCCATCTTCATGGCATTCTTGAGGGTCATTTTTGGTGTTTCTGTCTCAGGCCAAAAGAGTTTAGCAATAGCCAGTGATGCAGGTGCTGACATAACAGAAGCTGTTAGCAAATGAGAGGATGGGACCTGTAACGCAGAAGAAAATAAGCAAATAAGGCTTATCTTTTCTATTGGGTTGAAAAGAAATAGAGCAGAAACCTTGAAGAGACACAGGGCAGGGATTGTGTCTGCTAGAACACAGTTTCTCTGGAGGTTTGGGAGAACAACATTAACTCCATGGGTAAAGCAGCAGGCACTTTGAAAATGGGAGAAGGAAGGAACTAATGTTCATTGACAACATCATTGAGGAGAAGCACAAACCTCACACCTGATCATTTGCTAGTAAGGTGTGTACTAAAGTCCAAAGATGGAAGAGGAGGGGTTAGAGGTGCTGAGGAAGGAGAGGGAGGAAATCTTTGGAGTCGCAGAGTTTGGTTGGCAGAGGGAGGGGGTGAAGGGATTAGAAAAAGATCCTGTGGGGACCTAAAAAGACAGGGTAATAGTGGAACAAAAAGAAAGCCAGAAGAACGCCGAGCATTTCATACGTGTTCCTCCTCAAGATGCAAGAGGTCATCCTAAGGTCCAGTGGATGTCAGCAGAGGGGACTTGCCAGATGAATTGGTGGTCTCTGGTAAAAGTCCAGATGTAAACCATAGAAAATAAAAATAAAAATAAAACACCAAAAACAATTCAACAAAATGATAGCAATGAAACCTTGCTTCTCAATAATCACACTGAATGTGAATGGTATAAATGCACCACTGAAGGGAAAAAGAGTAAGACTGGATAAAAAAACCTAAGAATTCATCAATATGCTCTCTATAAGAGACTTGCCTGAAAAAAGAAGCTAAATAAAGAAGTAAAAAAAAAAAGGTGAGGAGAAAATATACCAAGTAAATGGCAACCAGAAAAAAGTAGGACTGGTAATATTAATCTCTGATAAAATATATTTTATAAAAACCATCATAAAGGACAAGGAAAGTCACTACATAATGATTAAAGGGCCAACAGAGCAAGAGGACATAACAATAATGAACACCTATGCAGCATATTAAAGGCCTACAAAATATATAAAATAAATATTAACAAAACTAAAAAAGAAAATAGACAACACTACTAAAGTAGTTGGAGACGTCAATATACTATTCTCCAGAAAAGATACAACTTCCTGAAAGAAGCTCAACAAAGACGCTGAAGAATTAAACCACACAATAAACCCACTCAATCTCATAAATTTTTATAGGCTAATGCATCTCAAAAAAAGCACAGTATACCTTCTTTTCCAGTGCACATGAAATGCTCTCCAGAAGAGATGACTTTTTAGGACACAAGGCAAGCATCAATAAACTAAAAACACAGAAATAATACAAAACATCCTCTCAGACCACAATGCTACAAAATTGGAAATTAATAACAAGAAGATAACGGAGGAAAAAAATCACACATTTGGAAGCTGAACAACACCTTGCTTGAACTTGAGTGGACATTAGAAGAAATAAAAAATGAAATTAAAAAGTTTTTTGAAACAAATGACAATGAAAACACAACTTACCAAAACCTCTAGGAAACAGCCAAAGCAGTAATCAGAAGTCAATTTACAGCAATAAGCAAACACATCAAAAGACAAGAAAAAATGTCCATTGACTCTCTAACTCAATATCTCCAACAAATTGAAAAAGAACAGCAAGAAAACTCAACTCCTGCTAAAAACCCAGAAATTTTAAAAATTAGGGCAGAAATAAATGAAATAGAGAACAGAAAAACAATTGAAACCATCAACAAAACCAGGAGTTGGTTCTTCAAAAAGGTCAATAAAATTGACAAACCACTAGCAAAATTAATAAAAAAAAGAAGAAAAAAACCACAAACAATCCAAATAAGAGATGAAACAGGCAATATCACAATGGAAACAACTAAAATAAAAAGGTTACAATGGAATATTATTAAAAAATTATACTCAGATAAATATAAAAACCTAGAAGAAATGAACAAATATTTAGAAAATCACAAACTACCTAAACTGACACAAAACAAAACTGAAAATCTTAATAGATCCATTACAAAAGAAGAAATTGAAAAGATAATAAAACAACTTCCAACCAACAAAAGTCCTGGACCAGATGCTTTTACAAGTGAATTTTATCAAGCATTCAGAGAACTGTCACCAATACTACATAAACTACTTGAGAATATAGAAAAAGAGAATTCTTCCAGACTCATTTTGTGAAGCAAACATATTAAAGCCAGATAAAGACACCACCAAAATAGAAAACTATAGGCCAATATCTCTCATTTACACAGATGCAAAAATCTTGAATAAAATCCTGACCAATAGAATTCAACAATACATCAAAAAAATAATTCACCATGACCAAGTGGGATTCATAACAGGTATGCAAGGATGGTTCAACCTAATAAAAACAATCAGTGTGCTTTCCTGATTAAAACACTCAACAAAATAGGAATAGAAGGGAATTTCCTCAACATAGTAAAAAGTATATACGCAAACCCGGGAAGCAACATTGTTCTTAATGGTGAGAGAGTAAAAACATTCCTTTTGAGAACAGGAATCAGACAAGGATGCCCACTGTCACCTCTCCTATTCAATACTGTATTGGAAGTCTTAGCAGTTGCAATAAGACAAGAGAAGGAAATAAGAGGTATCCAAATTGGCAAAGAGGAGGTAAAATAATCTATCTATACACCGATGATATGATAGTATACTTAGAAAACCCTAAAGACTCAGTAAGAAAACTACTGGGCATAGTTGACGAGTTCAGCAAAGTAGCAGAATTCAAGATCAACATACCAAAATCAAGTGGATTTCTGTACAATGACAAAGAGAATACAGTATTAAAGCTAAGAAAAACAATACCAATCACAATAGCTAATCACAAGATTAAATACATGGGAGTAAATCTAACTAGAAATACAAAGGATCTAGTCAAAGAAAATTACAAAACATTACTACAAGAAACAAACAGAGACCTGGAGAAATGAAAGAATATCCCTTGCTCATGGATAGGAAGACTCAATATTGTGAAAATGACAATGCCACCAAAAGCAATTTACACGTTCAATGAAATCTTAACACAAATACCAATTCCATTTTCCAACTAGATGGAAAAGACAATCTCCAGTTTTATTTGGAATGGAAAGAAGCCCCAAATAAGCAAAGTACTCCTGAAAAAGAGAAACAAGGTAGGAGGCAATACAGTCCCTGATACCAAATCCTATTACACTGCCTTGGTGGTCAAGACAACATGGTACTAGTACAGTGACAGACACATAGATCAATGGAATAGAATTGAGAACCAGAAATCAGCCCGTCTACCTATGGTAAACTTTTTTGACAAGGAAATGAAATCAGTTAAGTGGGAAATGACTGGCTTTTACACAATGGTGTTGGCAAAATTGGAAAACCATCTACAAAATACTCAAGTAAGACCTACACCCCATACCATGACATGTCTAAGAAGGGACTTATATTGAGAATTTATAGAATACTTGATCACCACAACAAGATAAAGGTAAACAACCCAATTCATAGAGGCTATGAGCAGGCACTTCACCAAGGAAGACATTCAGATGGAGAACAAACACATGAAGAAATGTTCAAAATTCCTAGCTCTAAGAGAGATGCAAATTAAAACAACTATGAGATATCATCTCATCCCAGTAACAATAGCAAAATTCAACAGAGCATCAAACAACGAATGCTGGCGAGGTTGTCGAAAAACTGGAACCCTTATTCACTCTTGGTAGATGTGTAAAATGTTGCAACCACTATGTAAGGCAGGTAGTATGGTGTTTTCTCAAAAAGCTGGAAATACAAATACCATTTGACCCGGCAATTCCACTACTGGGAATATACCCTAAAGAAACCAGAACTGCCACCCAAGCAGATATATGCACACCCATGTTTATAGAAGCTTTGTTCACAATAGCAAAGAGTTGTAAACAACTCAAGTGCCCATCAACTAATGAATAGCTAGAGAAGCTTTGGTATATTCCTACAATGAACTATTATGTAGCACTGAAAAACAAGGAACTCATGAAATATTATACAAAACGGGTGACCCTGGAAGACATTATGCTGAGTGAAATATCTCAGTCACAAAAGAACAAATACTGCATAATACAACAACTGTTATAAAACAGGACTAACATGGTGGTTGAGGAGAAACTAAGAAAAGAGGGGATAAATAATGCACGCAGCACTGAAACAGTCAAGGGAGAGAACTGTATAAAAGGAATATAAGTTTAGGTATTATTAGCATGTCAAGAGTCCAGAATAAGAGTTGCATAGTAAAGTGGACTGGGGGGAGTGGGACTGTATACCAATGAAATAATTTTTTTTTCCAAAGAGAAATGTAAACTGGGAGCAAAGGAGGGCAGGGAGGAAAATGTGCAACAATGAATGAATGGAAAACTAAGTTCTCTACAAAATTTCATTACAATCTCAATTAAAAAAACAAATTAAAAATAAAATTAATCTTTTGTTGTAAGAAATTTCAGACAAGGTTTCTCAGCCTGTGTGTCATCTTCATGAATGCTAAGATGGCCCCTGCTAGGAGCTCATGAGTGGCCCCATGGGACTTGGTGCAGGTGCCTCACAGGGCTGCCCAGGCAGTGATCTTAAGGAAGCCGGGCACCAGGTGTTCCATTGAGTCTCTGAGTGGTCACAGCAGAGCACCACTAAGGCAGTCAGATTTCACAACAGCATCAGTTTAGACACAGTGAAGAATGGGTCTAGATATCTCTCCTCTTACTTTAACTCTCTTGAAATAACTATCTAGAGTCCCTTTAATTTATTAACTATTTCTAATTTCTTCTCTACAGGTCTTAGCTGTTAAAATCTTTCATATGCAGAATTCTATAATTGGAACTTCCTTCCTTATTCCATAACACCTATTCCCTGGCACATTCCTGAAGGCAGCCTTCCTGTCAAACCACTTCTTCCCAAGGCATCCGTTGCCATCTCCCTCTGTCTTTCTGCTACTTGAACCTCCAAGGCTGTCAAGTCTCATAAGAACCTCACTGAAGGTGAGTCACTTGCCACATTGTGCCACCTGTGTTATTAAATTTCTCCACTAGGCTTGTAAGTTCTATGCTCAGGAACACATCCTAGGTTGTTTTCCCAGGCACACACTACAGATGATCACTACTCAAACTCGGTTGTTAACTGGGCACATGTTATTTGTTGTTGTTGTTATGTGCTGTCGAGTCGCTTGTGACTCATAGTGACCCTATGTACAGCCCTAAACTCCGCTCTGTCCTGTGCCAATCGCACTGTCTCTGACACTCCCATTCCAATTATCCCAGTCACCGAATCAATCCACCTCATAGAGGGCCTTCCTCTCCTCCACCCTCCCAAGCATGATGTCCCTCTCCAAGGACCGGTCTCTCCTCACAACATGTCCAAAGCATGTTAGATGGAGCCTCAGAATCCTTGCCTCCAAGGAGCCACCCGGTTTAACCCTTTCCAGGACAAATCTGTTTGTTTTCCTAGCAGTCCATGGTATTCTCAATACTCTTCTCCAGCACCACAGCTCAAAGGCATCAATTCTCCTTCTATCCTCCTTGGTCATTGTCCAACTCTCTGATGCATAACAAGTGATTGCGAAGACCATAGCCTGTATCAGACACACCTTAGTCTCCAGAGAGACACCATTGCTCTTCAGTACTTTGGAGAGGTCCCTAACAGCAGACTTTCCCATGGGCACATATTAAAGAATTTCAAGAAATACTAATGCCTGAGTCTTATTTTAAAAGATTCTTGTTTTATTTCTCTTGTGCACGGCATCAATACTAGGATTTCATGAACCTGTCAGGGTGATTTTTAAAGGACCCACTCTAGATGAGGGTTGTGAACTTTTTCTGCAAAGAGCCAGACTGTAAATATTTTTGGTTTTGCAGGTCACAGCTACTCGAGTCCATAGCACAAAAGCAGGCATGGACCAGTAGGAGTGGCTGTGTTTCAATAAAGCCTGAAAGGTTACAAATGGTTTGCTCTCAACTACTAGCTGAAAGGTGAATGGTTTGAATCTAGCTGGAAGACCTACAGAAGTGGAGAAAGCACCAAGGCATTCGCTTCTATAACAGGGGGAGCTGCCGTCAGTTGAAACTGATTCCATGGCAGCAAGTTTGACTCTTAGTTTTGGTATTTTAATTAAAATCCCATTTATAAAAAAACAGTGTGGGGGCTCCAGATTGGGCCCTTAAGACATAGTTTTTCAACTCCTCGCTTAGATTGTCTTTTACTCATATCAGTTATTAATAAGGTTATTAATTTCATTTTTTATCATTGAAATTTTCAGCCAAAGTAGCTTTATCACATAGCTTCAATGTATTATGGTTGAACATACCTCACATTTAGGTAGTGGGGAAATGACAATGAAGTAGATAGATTCTTCAAAACCATGCATTCAAATGCCAAAGCAAAAACCATTTAGAGAGGAAAAGGCCTTTTCTTCTACCAGTAGGGAGAAAGAATATCAACTATGGAACAAGAAAAAAGAAAGAAGAGGTTTAAATTTCTGAAACTCTTACCCCAAAAGAAATGTATGCCCCTAGGACGCTTCCGGCAATGGTGGCAAATCCAGCAGTCATGATGGCGTGGAGCTCAGACTTCGTGACGTGGGGCAGATATGGCCGGACCAGCAGTGGAGACTCGGTCTGGAAACAAGGCAGGGGGGCTAGCTTAGATGTTGCCTTTTAAATTTTGGGAGGATAGGAGTCCAGTGTGGTGAAGTGGGTAATGAACTTGGCTGCTAATCAAGTGGATGTTAGTATGAGTTTGCTCAGAGGTGCCTCAGAAGAAAGACTTACTGATCAACTTCTGGCATTTAAAGTCCTCTGGAGACATGCTCTGCACTGACACACATGGCATTGCCATGAATTGGAAGCTAGTCAATGACAACTGGTTATGGCCATAATCTTTGTCCCTCTTTCTCTTTTTTTTCTTTCATATTGGTTTGTATACAAAATTCATATATAAACTATTTCATTAATATACATTATATCTCACACATTTCTTCATTCACATTACATTTCAAGTGATCATTCCCATACTTTGTGTTTTATAAAATTAATCACCATTGCTATGCTTACTTCTATCCTATCTTTTTATATATCCACTGGATCTTTCCTGATTTCTTCACCTACTTCCTTGGCCCACCAAACTCAGTGACTCCATGATTTTCTTGCCCTCCACCTATAGCCCCCCGTCCCCTCCTCTTCACCTTTGACCTTTTATAAATATCTACTAGTTATCTTTCTATTTTAACAATAATGCTCTTTTTTATTAAATTTTATTAGTTTTAATGAACATTGACAGAGATTTTGGGTTTTCATTCATTCATTGTTGCACAGTTTTCTCCGCCCTCATCCCCAGTTCGTTCTTCTTTGCCCCCCCATGTCTGTTTTAATTGTCCATTTGCCACAGTGCTTGTCAAAGCCAGTTCTGATTAATCTCCTTTGTCAGTGTGTCCCTTGCCATTCCCTATC